TGTGCATATCTAGAATTCAATTGATTTATACATCTTCTATTTTGAAATTATCCATCTTTGACAATGTACATCATACTAACAAGGCGTCGAATAATTTTACTATCCAGCCTGAAAGCTTTTAAAGACTACTTAAGTGATCTGGTAGTTTTAATTTGTTGACTTTTTATTCCCTGGCAGAAATTCGTCAAAAAGAGATCTAACTTTCCTAGCAAACATGAGCTCTGCAGATGGCATTTTTGTGGTGACATTTACATTTGACATCATTTGATACACACTCAAAAATTCTTGTTGTGCCATTTCTTCAGTTCCAAGCCTTTAGATTTTCATAATGCCAGCTTGACCATTCAGCCTTGGATGATAAATCATCATTGTCAAATATTCAACAGCATAGTTTTTGCAGAAATTTTTAAACTTACGAGAAGTAAATTGAGTTCTATTATCGAATACCACACTGTCAGGTACTCCAAACCTTGCAAAAAGTTTGTGTAAGAATTTAATCATTATTGTGGTAGTAGGCCATTTACACTTTAATATCTCTGGCCATTTTGTGAAAATGTCAACCACAATTAAATAGTATGAATTGTTTAATGGTCCAGCGAAGTCCATATGTAATCTTGCCCTCAGTTTATCAGTGCCGAGCCTGCCTGACAATTTATAGGTGGTGATTTTGCTGCTGAATTACAACCATTACATTTTCTAACTGTATTTTGAATATCTATGTCGAGCTTTGGCCAATAAACTTACATTCTCATCAAGGACTTCATCCTCACTATTCCCAGATGTTCTATGTAGAATTGTTTCAAAATACTTTTTTGTGGTGATACCGAATTACTACTCTTTTCACATACAAAAGTACAATGAATGAATTTTGATATCATCTGTGGAAATCTCTCCCGCTTACTTGCTTCCCTGATATCTACAATCTTCAAAAATTTAAATGCAATGTCTATCACCATCCTCTGTCTTTTTGAATCCCATTCCTCCATTGTCCTTTTCACAATCCTCCCTATACTCAGTCTTTTCTCTCACTTTCACTTCCTGTAATCTCCTGCATATCAGTGGCATTCCCACCATGTTTGGAGTGAAATGATTAAAAACAAAAACAAGAAAGTTTTAATCTAAAGAATCTTTTCATAAAAATAGTAGACAAGAGTAACACACAGGAAAATTTTAATAAAATGTAATTTATAAGAGAAGAGAGAAAAACAGTTGTTGCATAGATTACCATTTATTAGAAAAAGAAAGCAAAATAGAGAAATGATTCTGACTTGCAGAAAATATGATTTCCATGAATTAGGATTGAATTAAAAGGAGGCTTTAGCATTAGTATCATTTTTTTGTTTTTAGCAAAAATGGGAAATTAATGTAACCTATTTTGGAACAAGGAAGAACATACAGTCATCAGGAAGCAAACTATGAAAAAATTTCACAATTCTGATGTGTCAGAAGTATTAAATCGACATGAAATTCACATGTAAGATTAGGATCCTTCATGAGACCGCTAAAAACAGAGCATAGCATGATGAAAAAGATGCCAAACTTGATGAAAACAAAATTTTACTGTCTAAATGTTGATGCTATTATTAAGAGGAAGGATCAAAGTATTTTTTAATTATTTAAAAAAATTTTCATTCTTTTTAGAACATTCTAAATATTGATTAAAAAATCCTTGTTTCTCTTTGTAAAAAAATAAATTTTTAGCATGTTTTTTTTTATTTTGTATGACATTAAAAAATAAAAAAATTGTATTTAAATGAAACTTTTCAGAAACTATTCAAAATGATGAAACTTATAATAAATATGTTTTCCTTTTTTAAACTCATGGCAAAATTGTTTTTCATATGTATTACCCCCCCACACACACACCATAACTAATTGTACGAAAACTCTATAATTTCAATTTTGCACAGATTAGTGATTATATTAGTTAAAAGCACAAGACTTTGAGGAAAACAAATCATGTTTTTTTTTTTAGTTGGACTACCTCTACCTGAAAATCGTCCCTGAATTGAAACATACAAAACTCAATAAAACAAAAATATTATTTAATTTCAAAAGCTTTTAATTGCTTTTATTTATTTTAATGAATATGGACAATATTGTCTGAAAGCAAAAAGATATTTCGATGAAAAATGAATTTTAAATTATTTGTTATTTCTGAAATATTTTTTTTATTTTTACATTAAATGTTGTTAATTCTTCTAAAATTAGGGTAAAGTTTGTACATTTAACAAATGTTGTTATTAAGTAGATATATATTTACAGATTATAATTTCCAAAGCTTTTAGAAACTAACAAACACCAGTATATAAAAAAAAATTAATTTGTGTCAATAATATGACTGCAAATCAAATCTATGGAAAACTGGAAGTATCATGTACAATAAAAAAAAACGTCATGTGGATTGATTTTCTGTCTAGTATTTAACTTAAATACTGAATTTTTAATACAATTATTTGTTATTTCTTTAATTGTAATAGATTTTTTCATTTAAATTTTAAAATATAATAAAATTAGTTAAAATCGTCCTTTCAGTTTAAGAAATGTCCTTTTGATATTTATTTTGTGAAACGTTCGGGGAGAATTAATTTGAAATTTCAACTGAGAAGGGTTTATAAAGTATCAATCATCTTAAAATTTAAATTTGTATTTTATGAACACTTCTGATAAAATTTAAAAAGCAAAATTAATTAGATACCTTTCTTATTTTAATTTCAAAGTCTTATTTTAATTTCTTTATATTTTCATTTTTATCATCGTAAATAAAGGTGAAAGCTTTGTTTTCCTTAAAAATAATAAAATAATTTGTTCCCTTAAATTCTTCTCTTTCCATAGAATAAATTATCCTTATCTATCAATACGTCATGAAAATGTCTTTCGTCACCTGTCAAGTGATGCGAAATGTTATAACCTGCTTTGTTTTATTTTCAAACTACATCTTTTTGGCACAGAAACTAAGTAATGCTTGTTTCAAAATATTCTAAATAAACATTATAATTTCTGATTTTCTTAAAATAAGTTTTGAAAAAATTATAATTGATTTTTAAAAGATTTTCAAACTGAGATTTTCATTTTTTTTTATAAAATGGAAAAAAATGGTTGATATGATTGATTACCTGTCAATTTTGCTGACTAAAAAAACAAGATTTTTAACGAAAACTTTGGACGTGCTAAGAACGATTAAAAATTGTAAAAAAAATACCCCAAAAATACGTTGATCTTTCCTCTTAATAATAAACATTTAGGTGATAACATTTTGTTTTTGTCAAGTTTGTCGTCTTTTTAATCATGCTATATGCTCTTTTTTAGTGAACTCATGAAGGATCCTACATAGGATTGATTCATTCATTATTTACGCCTAATCAACCCTTTGTAGGTTATGTAAAGCCAAAGCATATCTTTGGATTGTAAGAATAATTCTTTTATTTTTGCAAGTGAATACCATAGATACAAATCTTACTATTTAACCCATAGAGGAGAAGATGATTCATATCTTTCCAAGGGTATCTGCACACAAGTGAACGTAATGAACGTGAGTGGAATTTGAACTCGGCTCTCAGACTTCTCATTACACCACCTGCACATCCAAGCTTGCAGCACTCAACACATGCAAATGATGCGGTAGAATTAATGAGTTTCGTTAATTTTAGAGCAGTGATTCCCAAAGTGGGCGGTACCGCCTTCTAGGGCGGTGGAAAAATCCAGAGACGGAGTCGGTGAGAAAATGCGGGCAGCCAGAGGGTAGCAGTGGCACGTCTGAACTATAACAATATAACATACGCCACACACCCACACAGTGTGTCTTGCCTTCATTTCACAGTGTATCCCATGTAACAATTATTATGAGAAATACTAAGATACTCATTTGATATGCAATACTAGCACCAAGAAAATCCAATAAACGTGGAGTGCGTTAGGGTGGTGTTTTGGTCCGAAAGTAGGCGGCAACCCCCAATCAAAAGTTTGGGAAACACTGTTTCTTCTTCCCATTGTTTTGGATTGGAAGGACGAGTTTCCCTCCATATATATTCCTTTATAATAGAATGAAAATAATTCTTGACTAGTCCCACTTTTTGGTTTCGTCACTTCTAAATTTGTTTTGTTTTTTGAAATATTATTTTGTGTTTATTGTCCCAAATTTGCGTCATAAACACTGGATGGCTTCCTTTAAAAAAAAAACAACCCAAAAACCCTTATATTATTTTTAACCGCTTCATATTCTTATCTCTCATTTTGGATTTGAAGTCAAACATCCAAAATAAAAGAAAAAAATACGGGTTAAAATGCGAGTAGGTTTCAAAATATTTTTTTTACTCATACCAAGAACTTATTTATCTCCCTTACATTTGAAGTAAACTTCTTTAATATAAATCGTGTACACGAAATTAAACAAAATAAACGAAGTATAATTTATTTCAAATATTTTCCATAAACAAAAAACACGAATTTAATTCGAGAATTTTGACTAATTAATCTATTAATTGGAAAAACAAAATACTGTAGTGGAGGTTAAAACAAAAAGCAATATAATCAATTTTTTTGTATTAAGAAAAAAAATTAGTAAATATTTACGATAAAAAAGGTGCATTCTTTATCTTTATATCTACGTTAATTTACAGGATTTTTCGAGTTTCAGTTTTATTTATGCAAAAAGTATAAGGCATTTTAGAACATAAAAGATACCTGTTTGAAAGCAAAAACAAACACTTGCGTAATTAAATAACTGTACACCTGGAAAATAAATCCGATGAAAAAAATTCAATAAAACGATTCAAATTAATCAATTACCTTTCATCAGTAACTTGATTTCAAATAAATAATAAAAACTACGATTGATTAAAAAAAATCTATTATTCAGACATGATCGAACGAAAACTAATTGTTTTTTTTACTAACCAGAAACGATCAGCTTATAATTACATTTACGAGAAAATTCAAAATGTCTTTATCAAGTCAACATTAGCTACAGGAATGATAAATTCTAAATAAATTTTACTTACAGATTTTTATGTAATGTATTATTATTGTCACTTATTTCTTCGGTTTGCGTTTGAACCGCGTCCATAACTGCACTCCACGTGGAGGAAGTAAAAGTAAATGATTGACGCAAGCGCAGATATTGAAAAGAAATACTTCCGGTTGAAACGAACTGAATCAGTTAAACTGTTGTGGAAACTAAAAAGAAAACTTTTAGAAAAAATGAAAATTGGGAAAGAGATGTATCAGCAAACTGGTTTCAAAATTTAAATGAATAATAAAAATTACTACTGTCAAGGGTAACGATTCGATTGAACTGAAGTGTTTTTGTAGGAAAATAATTATATTTGATTTGAATTGAATGAATTTCAACTGGAAGCAGAGAATTAAAAAAAAAAAAAGCTGATTATTTTGAGCTGCACAAGGGTAATTTTTGCAAGACCTTTTTTATATTTTGTACATTTTGATGTTATGAAAATACTTTTTATTATTCTCATAAACGTTCATTTCAAATTTTACTTTAAGTTTTGTCTTTTTTCGTTATCGTCTCAGAAAAGTCCTTTGAAAGAGTTATTATTTGAACCTTTTTAATAACAGAACGACGATAGTTTTAACAAGTGAAATACAAAAACAGGAAATGACATAAGGGCAATTTGGTTGGTTGATAAAATATTTGTGTGAAATTCCTTTCAAATAAAAGTCAGTATGTAAGTTCAGGAAAAGAGAAAGGGATTTATGTATAAAGAGAGGAGTGTTAGAGAAAAATTCGTTGGATTGGCTGTGACTTTGGTCGGTGGAAGTGGCATAGACGACTAAAAATTGTTCCGTTGAAGTTGCCGGCTGCTGAACTACTGATGAAAGCAAGTACGCCTACCAAATTTTATTGACGGCCCGTGTTTACATTGCATAAAAATAAATAAAATTAAATCTTCTATTTCAAATACGAAGTGTCCACTATAATAGCGTTTGAAGTAATAAGACACACACACGCACACATACACACTCTTTCTCACACAAACACACATATATATAGATAGATATAGGGAAAGATGTCTTAGTCATTATGTTATTAAAATTATTAGTTAATAGTAAATTAATTAAAAAGTAAAAATAAATAAATCTTAATTGGTCTAGGTTTGTTTTAGACACTTACTTTTGGGAGAAATGAATTAAGAGAAAGCCAGAAGGCTGGTAAAAATTGCTACATTTTTTTCCTTTTAGAATTTACTCTAAATCGGACTGACAGAAATAACTGTAATGGCAGACTGTTGGTGATACATTTTTCAAATTTGGAAAAATATATTCGCCTTGTAATTCTTGTCCAATAAAAGAGGTATCGTCTACTCACGTAAATTTAAAGTTGAAATTCGTTTGATCCACTCTATTTGATATAAAATCCTATATTTTTCAACCAATAGGTGAGACACAAATAAGTAAGAAACGCCCACACATAAATAGGATCAGAATCACTAAAACAAAATTTTGTACAAATCAGTAAAAAATAGGATCCAAAATTAAATAAGTGGTTTCTGAAATTTGATTGGAGAATAGAGTCAGGTGCTATGCTTTCAACTGCGTCCGTACGTTTGAACTCCAAATGACCTGGTCGCTGGGTGCTATCCCACGTAAATCGAAAAACTTTTGTTTGGAGCCAATCGCGTGATCAGGATAACTATATAGACGCCGATTTCGGGGGCATTGAAAACACATACAACACAATCCCAGTCAGCAACTGGATGTGCGATCACCCGTCGATGACAAGCGGATGGATCTATAAACTCCCAACCAGAATTCTCTCGTTACCATGACAACACCGACGACTACACACCATTCAAAGGAATATTCACACAACTCAAAGAAATATACACAACTGTGAAAAAAGTAAGTCTTATCATCCGTCTGTATGTTCATTTCCTTTTGGAACCACCGTAATCAGTTTCATGTATTAGCACTCACACACACAACGTTTCTACTAATGTTCTTCACCACACCTCCTACACACATTCAGTCAGCAGCCACGCATACTCTCAGTTAAAATGTGTTTCAGACACGCGCACATATATACATACTTTTTATTGACCAAGGCATATGATTTTATGAACTACCCTTTAACAAATGGAAAATTTTGTCAAACATTTGAACTTTGATTTTTTAAGACCAGAACAAACACAATGTTTATCATGTAAAAACAAATGTTAATATGTACGTCAATATATGATTATTTCAATCTGGTTTTTCTTTTTTGCCTATGTAAAAAAAAAAAAAAAATCATTTCTTCGTGTTATGTTGCATCTGTGGGCACGACACTCGGATTTTAATTTCTCACTTTTAATCCGGGTAGACTAACCCTACAAGGATATTTAAGACGTGTCAGAGGATGAACAGCTCAGGGGATTCAGACGTCACATGAGACGGTTGGCGAAAGGGAGGCAGGAGAAAGACTTGGAAGGCAGATACGAAGCAGGTCGGCTGGTTGCGGAAGGATATTAGGATCCCTCGTGTAAAAGTCAGCAGTAGAGAGAAAGGTTTCGGTATTCTTTTTTTGAAAAAAAAAAAAAAAATCGACGAAAAAGAAGAAAAAAGAGAACTTTTAGCCGAGCACGAAGAGAAAATTTCAAAACAAAGAAATTTCAAAATATCGTTAAACTTCCCAGATACTTTTGTAGGATAAGCAAATGCCAAATAAACACGTGAAACCTAAGCAGGAAGAAAAGCGAGCGACATTGCAAAATTATCGTTAAATTTTCCAAAGACTCTCGCGGAATAAAAGTAAAGTAGGTCTATCTATTTAAGCGGATGCACCTTTTTCTAAGAGTAATTTCTTCATTTTTGCAACAGTTGTCGCATCACCTTCTCAATTTTTTTTTTTTTTCACATGATTTGAAAAAAAAATGTCTCGTAAATCTTTTTCAGAGCAAATAATTTTTATAATTTTGTTATGTTATCTTGCCTTATTTATAATAATGCGTATGAAAGGAAATTTTTGTAGAAGCCCTTTTTGCAAAATTTGTATTTTTTCATATCAGTGTATTAATTGTTATTCCCTTTCAAATTTCGCGTAGAAGTTTCGAGTTTTGTTTGTTAATATATGCGCTTTTTTTTAATATTCAGGATAGGAGAGTGTATATTCTCTATTCCCTCATACCCTTTCAAAAAAAATATTTTACATAAATGTGAAAATTCTTTTAATATATATATTAAAAATTATATATATATATATATATATATATATATATATATATATATATATATATATATATAATATATAAAAAATTTTAATGTAACTGTAGAAATTCTGATAACTGTCCTCTTACAAAATAAATGTCGCACGGAATCATTAGTATACCAATGCAATATCTCATCTATTGAGAATCCCGAAAACATAAAAATCTATATAGGTCGCACAAACCATGAGTCAAAAAAAATTTTCCTTAAATAATATTTAAAAATAAAATAAAATAATAAAAAAAAGGAGCTGGTAATATACTTGATATTTGATATGTAATAATAATTTAAGTAATTCTATTACATTTATTGGTTTTAAAAAGAAATATAGTCTATTAGTAATTAAGAGTAAAAATAATATTTTAAAATTGTAGTTCAATATAACGTATTCTAACCCAAACACCCCTTTCAGAAAGAATCTTTTTATATACAAGTAAAACAGACGACATGCGTTGAACGGATGTCATAATTCGTTGAAAAATGCACCCCTACCTTACCTAGACTTAACATCTTTTTCGAACGTAACTCATAATAGATACAATAATAGTTAATAAAAATGAACACGTTACCGCCCCTGTCTAAATGATTGGATTTCTCTGTATCCTTGGAAACAAAATGAATTGTATGTGCGTTTAAAACTCAGTAAATTAAAAATAAGTTTTTCCAAAATTCGCTTGAAGATGAAACAGAACTAATGCTTTTAATTTAATTATGTAATTAAATTTGAAGTTTCTGGCTTCGGTTTTTGAAACATGGTAATTCCCGTGTAGCGAAGGAACCATATTTTAAATCAGTTAATTTATAATATTTATGCTCTGTAAATTTACATTGAGCACTGTTTTGTAAAAATAAAAAATATCAATAAGAACACCGGATTATATATCTTACTGTTTCTTTTTATTTTATTATATATATATATATATATATATATATATATATATATATATATATATATATATATATGTGTGTGTGTGTGGATTTTTTTAAAATATTCTGTTGCGTCATCTATTTACATTTTATGTTATTAATAATGCAAGTGAATCGTGTTAGGTGATGTACTAATCCATTTGTTTTTCTTTTATAAAATATAGAACCCAATAATATTTTTACATCTCTTTTTATTGTAGCTTTTCCCAAATCCAGCTGCAAATAAGATTATAAGTTATGGAATCTGTTTTAAAATAATAAATTGCTTAAGGCTTTAAAAGGCGCGCTGGATATTTCATTAATTTTTAACAAGTATATCTTTGAATTTTCATGAAAAATAAATGACCCAATTCTTAATCTACATTCTCCTGGCATTAGCCTAAACCGATACCTTTTTTTCCACATATCTATATAATAATTGTAAACTATAATTTTGGGAAATATTTTAAAGAATTTTCAAATTTTCATCTGAAATCAAGATAAGATGAACGCTAAGCAAAGTGATCACAATATACAGAAATAGACACCAGAAACTGACACCAGAAGGATATGGATTAAAAACATTTATTATTTTACATTAAATTGCTGATTTTATTTTTACGGTTTACCAACCCTTTGGGCGTTATATCTGTTGTGGCGTCCCCTCTCCAATGATTCGATTGTGAATTGCTTCCAATTACAAGTATAAGACCGGTTAGTTTAATTAATAGTAGGAATGATCAGTGTCCGCACACACTCTCAAATCGTGTAATACTCTTCTGTTCATTTAATGTGCAAAATACTACTTATCTGCAAACACTTCTGTTGTTATTCCGTAACCATTCATTTGGTCACAACAATATCCAATTGCAAAATGAAAAACCTCAAATCACACACCAATCTCCACAACCTAATCTAAGCTGGAAGAATAAAAAAATGATATTACAATACTCAATA